TCAACTGCTCCTGGCTGAGCGGGAGTTTACGACATCCACTTCGTGTGTCGCTGTCATTTGCGCTACCGCTACACGCTCAACGGCGAGCTGGTCATGTCCAATGCATCGCGAGGTAATCTCAAGAAGATGATAAGCGAGACGCGCTGTGTTCGGTTCCAGCTAGATGCCAGCGACTCTAGCCGTGCTGTTGAGAGCAACCTCCAATTTGTAACTTGAGTTACTCTCATACTACACCCAACATCGCTAGCGTCGGTCATCACACAAGCGGTCGCGTTTCCCTGAGGAAAATCGAGCGTCACACGTTGTTCAAGCAGTAGTATCAGGTCGTACACCGATCGCTGTTCACCTCTCAATCAAATTGCAATTCTAGCTGCAACTCGCTTGGTCGTTTTGGAGGCGTTCGCTAATGCTGTATTTAATGCTTCTTTAAGTGGTCTAAATTTCCTAACGTAGTCAATCAAACTTTCGCGCATCCAATTTGTTGCACACAACATTGTTGCTACTCACCCGCAGGGGCTTAGGCATGGAAGGTTTGCACGGACACTTTTAGTGTCATGGCGCACACCAAAACCCGATGTTACCATCCCACACCAACGACCGTCACTCTGGAACAGGCTAGACTTCTTGACACTAAGCTTAAACCGAACAAATCTGATAGTTAAAAAGTCTGTCCAACTTAGTGAGGTATGTACGCACGTCGTTTGCAAACAACATTAAATTATCTATCCGAGCAGTAGATGACGGTGCAGAAGCTCTTCCAGACACTTCTCAATTGTAGATTGGAAAAAAGCAGCATCAGTACCTCCTTGCGGAACGCGCCTTAGTGTGTATACTTCTGATACGCAATGTGAGACAGCATCTCATGATTCTCTTCAGCAAGTGCTAACTGACAGTTGTCATTTATGAAATCAAACAATCAAGAAAAACACAAAAAAAAAAAAACGTGGCTCCTTTCAGAGCTTCTAAATCGGTTTGTAGATCAGGCATGGTTCCAATAACAGCGACGGACATTTGATGGATATTTCCTTGCCTTAATCCTGTATGGTTTTGCATTAGGTTTCAGGCGTATCCGCATTGGAGGCACTTTCGCCGGTGGATCTGCACCCAAACGGGTTCTCCACAAGTCAAAGCGCAGAGCAATCCTTGGAAGTTCCTGCTTGAACGACAATGCGAATCCGTCCGCAATTTCTTTTTCAACCAGCTCTAGCATGCCATCTCTAACTTCTTCGTCATGCTGTACGGCATCCTCAGCTGTAGGGTCATCCAAATCCGTCTTCGTTCTCCTCGTCAACCCCAAGTGGCACCGCCAGTAGGTCAAGCTGCCCCTAAACGTCGATTCCTAGCTTAAGTACCCAATTAGAATCGCCGGGGTCACCGGGAATATTTAATACGCTTAACCGACTCAGCTACATGAACAGTATCTGGAATGGTTCGCAACCCCATAATTAGATTTACAGTCCAATTCACACAAACGGATGCACCGGGCATCGGCCAGCATGCACATCAAAGGTTTATCGAGTTTGACGCGCACAATGTCTGGCTTCAAATTTGCCAATCGATCAAAACAGCCCTCGTCTAAACAACACTGATCTGCTCCACTGTCAATGCAAAGCGGAATTGACTTTTCGTCTTCCAGTACAACAATTCGATCCTGTTTAAGATAGCATTCTCCAATTCGGTTCAGTTTAGCGGTGCCTCCCTTGGTTATGTGAACCATCTTTGCTATCTTTTTTGCGTTCAACAAGCAGTTTTCACTCTCCGCTGGGGTTGCCGAGGGGAATCTGGGACAAGTACTGCGCGACACCACAATGCAACCACCCGCCTGTAGGTGCTCCTTTGGTGACAGCACGTCCAGTCGATCTCCTTTCTGCAGGTTCCGACCGGCGTCGTTCACCTGTATTGCTTTCTTGATCTTACGGTTGCTGGTTTGCACACTACGTCGCTCGGTTAGTTGATGACTAACTGAGTTCTACTGTCCTTTCCGTTGTTGCTTGTTGGGATATGAATTTGCTTTTTCAGAGTCCGTTCTTCAATTGCTTTCGCTTTGGCCTTGACACAGACGAGCTGATGCAATTTCCGAATATCGTTCTTGGCTTCCGGAACATGGTACACCAATTGAGCCTTATGTTTTAGGCCTTTCGGAGGCGAGTTGAAAATGAGCTTCTATTTCTTCTTAACATCTCGCTCTTCCCCAAAGAAGCCTGGAAATCCATGTTTTTTT